TAATCACTAATACTACAGGTAATCACTAATACTACAGGTAATCACTGATGCCACAACATGTTATTCACCTGTACTGTCTCCTGTTAAATCATCTACTTTATGTACCGTAGAGCTGAAACAAGAAAATCAATTATCATTATTTTAGTAATCAGCAGAAATGGTTCCAGCTTCTAGAACTTCTCTGTAATTTGAGGATAATTTGGGTTCAGCACAAAATACGCAGTTTAAATTGATCCCTTTCATCTCTGTGACTCGTTCCCGTCTCAGGTGAAATGCAACGAGCAGCCCAACAGAGTGGAGATCTACGAGAAGACTGTCGAGGTTCTGGAGCCAGAAGTCACCAAGCTGATGAACTTCATGTACTTCCAGGTGAGTTCTATTCAGATGAAGCTGTTATTCTGACCACAGTCACAGAAACCTAATGTCTGTCTGTCTCTCTCTCTCTGTCTGTCTGTCTGTCTCTCTCTCTGTCTGTCTGTGTCTCTGTCTGTCTGTCTGTCTCTCTGTCTGTCTGTCTCTCTGTCTCTCTCTCTGTCTGTCTCTGTCTGTCTCTCTGTCTGTCTGTCTCTCTCTCTGTCTCTGTCTGTCTGTCTCTCTCTCTGTCTCTCTCTCTGTCTGTCTCTCTCTCTGTCTCTCTCTCTGTCTGTCTCTCTGTCTCTCCCTGTCTGTCTGTCTCTCTCTGTCTGTCTCTCTCTCTATCTGTCTGTCTCCCTCCCTCCCCCCCAGCGTACAGCAATAGACCGTTTCTGTGGAGAGGTCCGGCGTCTCTGTCACACCGAGCGCCGTAAGGACTTTGTCTCTGAGGCATACCTGCTGACTCTCGGGAAGTTCATCAACATGTTCGCCGTGCTGGACGAGCTGAAGAACATGAAGTGCAGCGTGAAGAACGACCACTCAGCCTACAAACGGTATTAAACTGCCTGCACTGTCACACAGCAGACACTAGAGGGCAGCATCGCTCAGCGTCCACGAGGACCCGTCTCTACAGTTTGTCCTCCTAAACCTCACTGATTGGACAGAGAAACAGGGAAACTGTCTTCATGAATATCCAGGAATATAATGATGGAAGCTTTGGAACTACAGTTCCCATCATTTTGGGATATAGCATGTTTTTAGCTTGTTTTCACAGATGACAAAAAGTCCCTCAGAAAGATTATCCGGCCAAAACCTTTTGTTGTTCTTCTCTTAAGTCGTTCACACGGGAGAGAAGACTATTTAGATCAGACGCAGAATATTGATCACCAGATTATTTGTTCTCTCATTTGCCTCTCAGGGCTTCCGTAGAAGCTCATTCATCAAAAAGTTGAAAGATGGATGTCGAGCAGAAAGACGCTTGTATTTTAGAAAAGTTAATCGACTTACTTTCATGAGTTCTCATGTCAGTCGTCTGGGATTTAAGCATTGAATTTATTTCATTCTTCAGGAGTTACATACGTTCTCATATTGGATTAATATCTGAATTAAGCCGTTTCCATTTCCTGCCGGTGTGAATGTTTGAATTAAATCTACACCTTTGTTCTCTCAGAGCTGCTCAGTTCCTCAGGAAAATGTCTGAGCCTTCGTCCATCCAGGAGTCTCAGAACTTGTCCATGTTCCTGGCAAACCACAACAAGATCACTCAGGTCGGTCAGAAGATCTTCAAACTGTTCATTCAACATGATGATGGAAGTGTTTCAGTCACAAAGTCATTGGTTATATATTATTATTTTACACTTTCATCTTTTAACCAACATCAGTTCTGATCATAACAACCAAATACTCATAAATGTAATGTTTATATAATGTCAATGTTGATTTTTATGAAGAAAATAACTCTCTATAGTTCTCTCTATACTTAAGGGGGAATTTATTTATTCTACTATTTCTATTTTGTCCCAGTCTATGATATGATTTTAGAATATGAGTGTTTTGAAGCTGTAATGGGATCAAAGGTTTGTTAAAGACTTATTTGACCCGCTGTCATCAGACTTTAAGGTGAAGTTAAATTCAGATCAGGAAAAGCCTGAGAACATTAAGATAAAGAGAATGTGAAGAGTCTAATGTACTAATCTGTCTCTTCTGTACAGTCTCTGCAGCAGCAGCTGGAGGTGATTAATGGGTACGAGGAGCTGCTGGCCGACATCGTCAACCTGTGTGTCGAATACTACGAGAACAAGATGTACCTCACTCCCAACGAGAAGCACATGCTGCTCAAAGTAAAGTCCACCATTGCTTCTGTTGATTCCACCGGCATTGCCCGTCATCCCATACACATAATAACCACTAGGGGAGGGAATCACCAGAGGTCCCGCGATACCATTTTATCACGATGCATAGGTCACGATACGATATTATCACGATACTTAGGTCACGATATGATATTGTCACGATACATAGGTCACGATACGATATTATCACGATACTTAGGTCACGATACGATATTATCACGATACTTAGGTCACGATACGATATCACGATGCATAGGTCGCGATACGATATCACGATACATAGGTCGCGATACGATAT